CTGCCGTGGGGCCACGCCCCCAACGCCGCCGGTGCTGCCAGGTGGCAAGAGAGAGAGGGAGTCGGGTGTTCCAAGGGCTAACGCCCCTCTCCGAGTGCGGAGCCTCCCGCCGCCGCTGTTGCCGTGGCCTCCGTGGCCAGGTCTTCCTGCAGGGCTATTTAAGTCCTGCTCTGCCGCGGGGCCATGCCCCCAACACCGCCGGTGCTCCCAGGTGGCAAGAGAGAGAGGGAGCCGGGTGTTCCAAGAGCTAATGCCCCTCTCCGAGCGCGGAGCCTCCCGCTGCCGCTGTTGCCGCGTCCTCCGCCCGAGAAGAAAATTAGTGAAGACTAATATCCCAATTCACCATTAAACAGAGTGAGGCAGCTAGGGTGGGATTCCAACTATTCCTTCTTGATTCCCCAGGCTATATCATTCTATTAGAATTGAATTGTTAAAAGGGATTCTTATATCCAAATATCAAGCAAAATGCTACTTCAATTACTTACTGTGGCATATCCATAACAATTGGGCATCAACACTTTGTTTAAAAACCTTCAATGAAGAAAAGTCAATCACTTTCTGAAAAGCTTAATCCACTTTTGAACATATCTTACTATCAAGAGTTCTAAATTCGTCCTAATTTTTAATTGGAATCTTCTCTTCTTAACATTTGAATCAATTGGATGGGATCCTATCATCTGAACAAGTGGAAAACAAGGTTTTTCCATCTTCAACTTGACTTTCCTTCAAATATTCAGAAATGACTATGGTATCACCTCTCTTTTTTAAGTCTTGGAGGACACAGTTCCCTGTCCTGCATAGCTTGTCCTGCACCCTGTCAAATATCCTGTTAGTGTCAGGGCTGGCAGAAGAGCCTGTCCATTGTATACTGAAATAACATTATTTTCCCAATCCTATCAGCATCTATATGTGGAATAGACAGGGCTACAATCTTGTTCTTTGTCACAGACAGCAAAAATAATTTGCCTTCACAGAGACAGCTCATGGTAGAAAAGTTTTCATTGATGCCAAGCCCTCTCCCCAAAACCTCACAAGAAATAAATTCCAGTGATTATGCAGCATATACTGTAGGAGCCCTTCAAGAATTCCCATGCCATGTCGCTACAATTCATAAAAGTGACAGACATTGCTATGTTCTCAGTTTCAAAGCATATCATTTCAACCTTAAGGGGGGTTGCAGACTGCCAGAAATAGTGCAAATTGAGTCCACTTTTAGGGTTAGGGTTAGGGTTAGGGAATCATGGGAACTGTATTTTATTGTGGCACCAGAGCTCTCTGACAGAGAAGGCTCAATGTCTCAGGGAAAAAAAACAATTCCCATGATTCCCTAGCACTAACCCTAACCCTAAACGTAGACTCAATTTGCACTATTTCTGGCAGTCTGCAGCCCCCCTTAGTTTCCCATCTAGAGAGGCAGCAATTCATGTGGTCAATACCATTCCTGGATTGACCCACTTCATAAACTATATCACTTCTTGAATTACAGACTATCCAATATTAAACTGGTTGTATTTTAGCAAGGAACATATTTGATTAAGGCAGAGGTCAGCTGAATTTATTAGTTGCATCTCAGGCTTGTTTCCATGGGCTCTAAAGAGCTGGTCCTTTTCTTTTTGGAACTGTTCTGCAATCTTTGCAGACATATCTTTTTTTTCCTCCTTTTTTAAATTAAAAAGTTTTGTGTTCCATATTTCTTCTTTCTCCATCTTGTCCTTGGCTTCATTTGCCCATTCTGCCATTTAATCCGATTGACTTTAGCAACCCAAACAATAGGATTAAATATCAGTTTGTACTGACAAAACTGAAGACCTTGAAATCAAGAGGGGGGGGGAACAGGATCTAACACCAGTAGCAATAGCCAGAGCAATTAAAGTGTATGAAAAAATGGTTAAACTCAATGGATATTTGGTAAAATAAGCATGTCTTCTACGTAACCGGTCCAAATGCATTAGTGAAAAACATACATTAAAACAGAGGGATATTCTACTAACTTCTACTGATACTATATGATGGGAGAGAAATCAACAGTTAAAAGTAATCAAAAGTTATTCAAGCTCTGCTTCTCATTCATTTTAGTCTTCTGTCTTACTTGTACATCTCTCTGTGTTCCTTAATGATTGTAAAATATATTTTTCATAACACATCTTTCTGAAAAGAATACAAATCAGAAAACACTATCTTTAGTAATGCCTTCTCAGTCTAATCCATATTCATTTGCTCTGTACTCCTGCACTGACCCAAATTTCAACTAATTACACACATGAGAACACAACTTATTATACACACGAGAACACCATATATATGCCTATCATGCCTCAAGAGTTGGTCATTCCATTAAGGCACTGGTTTGGTTCAAACACTGCAGATTCTGAGTCCATGAAATACATCAGCTTGCAAAATTGAGGCAGGCTTTTTGGCCCCTTGGTAGTAGAAAAGTTTTTTCCCCTCCAGCATTTTCCAGAATCTTCAGTGAGCCTGAATCCCAGCTTTCCTTAGCCCAGCATCTCCAATTTGGTTTAAGCGTGAATTTCCAAACAAATGACCAAATATGACTAACATTTAGTGTGTGTGTGTGTGTGTATACAATCATGAGAAATGCATTGATGTCAAAACAACCTAAATGCAGCCCACTCACAGCAAATGTCAAAAGAACAGTGGGAAAATGAGCACGAAAGAACAGGAATAGGTGAGAAGGATTACTACCTGTGGCTAGTAACTTGTGGGTGGATTGTGGCAGAAGATAGTTGAACACTACTTGTAGTTTTGTGAATTTATTCCACATATACACTGCAAATCCCAAGGAGTTTCCATTAAGAATGCATAAGCGTTTTATCTCTCCACACTGCTTGAAAAAAGATCCCTGCACTATGCCACAAACTTGTGATAGTCCTTTCTATTTTGAAGCAGTTAGTGATGTGCCATAATATTGTGCACTTGGCTGCTCTATTGCTTTTTAATTGCTTCCAATGACTGTCTACCAGCAAAAAGTGGTTTAGACTGATTTGTCATTCTCCCTGAAACTGCCATGTCACCTACAGCAGCAGGTGAGGCCTAGGGGAAAGGAAGGCAGAGTTGCAGAGTCTACCAAAATCTACCAGAGTTGTAGAGTTTCAGAGTCTACCAAAATCAAATTTGGTTGACACGGGGACATGTCATAGTTTTTCTCTGTCCTAAGTCTTCAGCAAAGAAGAGAGGGCTAGATAACAGGAGCTCCCTGCTCCTATCAATGAACTCTCCAGCGCTTACTTCTCTACTTTTCCCAGTGGAAGGCAGTGTTATCAGTAACCCAAATAAAACCACTTTTGTCTGCCCCCCCCTGAGAAAAAAGAACTTGTTTGTCTGCTGAGTAGTCAAAAGCAATCCAAGGCTTAACAAAGAGTTTAAGAATGTTTTATTTTAAATAAGAAGGATTAGATCAGGTTTCTGGATATTTTATTGTGCAGCATTCTTCTCCAGAAATATTGTAGAACATTGTAAAGTTACAGAACCAGATTAGAGATTATATTTCAAAAACACCTTGAAACTGACAGCCAGTTAGAAAATACAACAAAAACACCCTGATGCCCCCTAACTAAAATGGTCCCTTATCAGTTACACAAAAGTAGAACTTCTGCTCTCAGGCATTCCCATTACTAAGGCAGTGGGAGACTGACCCTCTGGAGATCAGCCTCTACCAGCCTTCCTCATATTGATGATCAGCATTGTAAAGAGCAAAGCAAAGCAGCTTCAAAAACAAAGCAGTTTTATTTATATACCACTTCATACCACGCTATGGGGTATCTAAGAACTGTAAGCTCATTGCCCCCCAACAGTTGGGTACTCATTTTAGCAACCTCAGAAGGATGCAGGCCTGAGTCAAGCCTGAGCCCTGGATAGTATTGAACTTGCAACCTTGTGGTCTATGAGTGAGTGGCTGCAGTACAGGCATTTAAGCCACCAGGGCACCTGGCAAGGGAGATGGAGAGAACTTGAAAGAACAGACCAATAACTCCCTAGGAACAATGACAGTAAAACTTTTCTACCCCGACATCTGAAGGTTCTAGATGTTTTTGTTGTTGTTGTTGTTGTTGTTGTTGTTTTCATGTACCTTCAATTCATTTCCAACTTATAATGACCCTAAAGCTAATATATCATGGAATTTTCTGGAACTTGAGAGAGTGTGACTTTGTCAAGGTCGCCCAGTGTTTTTCCATGGCTGAGCAGGGACTCAAACACTGATCTTCAAAGTCATAGTCCAACACTCAAACCACTGTACCACACTGGCATTCTAGATGTCTTGGCATCATTATACTCACAAAAAGCTTTATTGGCAAAGGGTATCTCACCAATATTATGTAATCCTCTGCCATCTTAAGTGGTAAATCAATCCCTTGTTATTTATTTTATTTTATTTTATTTTATTTTATTTCTATTCTGCCTTTCTCCTAAAAACAGACTCAAGGCAGCTCACAATATAGAAACGCATTAAAACAAAACAAAAAAAAATAAAGACAATTAAAGAGCAGCAGCATTTTCAGCCCAGGGGGGCTGTTGTCAGGGCTATCCAAGCTATTTGAA